AACATCATTCCCTCAATTCTTGTAGTGGTACCGTCATTCTGCCCCATACCATAGTTCAACAAAATTTCCAGACATGTGGCAATGACATTCTTGAACAGCTGGAACTCCAAGATCTCCCATCCTTGCAGCACTTATCCGTATTGCATCTATGCCTGTGTCATCATTTGTGGTTGTCTCAGACTCCCTTAGCGCTTTACAGGCTATACAGAAATTTGATACACCTCACCCCTTAGTCCTCCGTATCCAACTTTGGCTACGCCGCATCTTTACCAAGCATAAAGATATTGTTATTTGTTGGGTCCCTGGTGATGTTGATGTACAGGGCAATGAACAGGCAGACACTGCTGCGTGGTCAGCAGTACATGACCTACCAGTTTCATGTAGAGGTATTCCATTTACGGACTATTTTGCTGCAATATCTTCCCACCTTCACACCCGTTGGTAACAACGTTGGTCTACTATGCTCGGTAACAAACTTCAATCTATTAAACCGAGTATAGGTTACTGGCCGTCTTCTTATCACCAGTGTCGAGGTTGGGAGACTACTCTCTCCCGTCTTTGCATTGGCCATACTTGTCTTACTCATGGATATCTCATGGAGAGGCGCCCTGCTCCTCTCTGTGAGAATTGCCAGGCTCCATTATCAGTCAGCCACATTCTGTAGGACTGCCCACTTTATCAACGAGCACGCAGAATTTACCTCCATCGTCGTCTTCGCTCCGCTGCTCTCTCTTTACCTTCCCTTCTCGCTGATGGACCCACCTTTCATCCGGACTCTCTCATTGACTTTTTGACAACCACTGACTTACTTCACAAATTCTGATACCTTCAGCCCTTTCTACCTCAATCTCTTGCTACCCTCTACCCCCGTACTATCCCCTGCCCTGCTGTTTTCTGTAACCTACTGATCATCCCTCCTCCCTTCTGCCGCCTAATACCCTCGCTTCCTTCCCTACCCTGCAGCGCTGTATAGCCCTTGTGGCTTAGCACTTCTTTTTTATTATAATAATAATAATAAATAGTGTCCTCATTAGAATGAATTGGACGGCCTATTTTGGTGTCATCAGCAAATTTGCTTATGTCGCTATTTATTCCCTCATCTATGTCGTTTATGTAGCACTGGCCTCAAAGGACTGAGTTCTCAGTAGGAATACATAATGGATCCTCAAAGGGTTATGTTCCCTCCATTACACATCAAACTAGGGCTAATGAAACAGTTTGTTACAGCTCTTGACAAAGAGTCTGCAGCCTTCAAGTATCTTCAAGACTTCTTTCCCAAGCTATCAAAGAATAAGATGAAGGCTGCCATCTTCAGTGGACCACAAGTCAGGAAAATCAGGGAGTGCTCAGAATTTCCAAGGAAGCTCACAGAGAAGGAAAAGGAAGCCTGGGAGAGTTTTGTTGCTGTAGCACAGGGTCTTCTGGACAACAAGGTTGACAATTATGTGGAACTTGTTGAGACCTTGGTAAAAAGCTATGGTCAGATAATTTCAAGGAGAATATGGGAGCATACTCAGAGGAACAAGGGGAGCGCTTCCACCAAGATATAATGATTTTGAATGCAGATATCAGGGTCTTATAATGAAAACATGATGGGGGACTACATTTGGGGGCTTAAACGGGAAAGTGATTTGTTGCATGCTCGCAAATCTAGAAAAACCACTCATTTTTAATTTTGTAAATATGTTTCAGAAAGTTTAAAATAAAATTGTGTAAATTTTATTTTATGTAAATTTTATTTATTTTATTATATGTTTTTGTTTTACATCCAAAACTAGCAAAAAAAAATATTGAAATTTATCCATTTTTTTGTCAAAAATTCATCCTCTAAGCCACAAAAGCAAAGTTTAAAAGGAATAATGGGCATTTTCTATTGTTTTGCAATAAAAGGAGCTGGAAAATAACACTTGCCAGGAACAAAAATTGTGTTACATAGTGTTATCTTTCTCTTTGCCCACTGTCTTCCTCTATTTTTCCATTCCCTCTCCCTCCATACCCTCTTTATTCTTTGCATTTTCCCTTTCCCTTATTACCCTCCTCCATCTCCCTTACTAATAGGTATCAGTATGTTACCATTAAAGACACAGCATCAACAACACGGCCACTTGATACTGGAGTTCCGCAGGGAAGTGTCCTTGGTCCCCTGCTCTTCCTCATATACATCAATGATCTTCCAAACGTATCCCAACACCTGAAACCCATTCTCTTTGCTGACGACACGACTTATGTCATCTCTCACCCTAATCTTGCCACCCTCAACACCATTGTTAACGAGGAGCTGATCAAAATATCGACTTGGGTGACAGCCAATAAACTTACGCTTAACACTGACAAAACCTACTATATTATGTTTGGTAGCAGAGCAGGAGATGCACAAATTAACATTAAGATCGACAATACTCTAATTACCAGACATAATGAGGGCAAATTTCCCTAGGCCTATACCTTGACAACAACCTGAATTTCAGCACCCATATCCTAACAACATAACCAAAAAAGTATCCAAACAGTTGGGATCCTCTCCAAGATATGATACTACGTGCCGCAAAATGGCCTTCTCACACTATACCACTCACTTATTTATCCATACCTCACCTATGCTATTTGTGCTTGGGGATCAACTGCAGCAAAAACACCTAAAGCCAATAATAACCCAACAAAAAGCTGCAGTAAGAAAAATCACTAAATCCCCTCCCTGGTAACACACCCCCCACTCTTCATAGATCTAAACTTACTCCCTGTTCAGTACATCCACACTTACTACTGTGCAATCTACATCTACAGGACCTTAAACTCCAATATCAACCTTGACCTAAACGCTTTCTTGATAGTTGTGACAGAATCCACAGGCATAACACCAGACACAAACATCTCTACGACATTCCCCATGTCCGACTAAACCTTTACAAAAATTCAATGTATGTCAAAGGCCCTAAAATCTGGAACACCCTACCTGAGAACTCTAGAACTGCAGACACATTCATCACCTTCAAAACTACCATTAGAAAACATCTTATCTCCCTGATAAATCCCATCAACTAACTACACGAATACCACCTGGTGGTTCACACTTACACTCACTCACCCATTTGACCATAAACAGAAATATTAATCTCAATCTTAAAAAAAATGAATCCTATGATACTCCAGTACTGAAACTATGTACTGTGCCAAAACAAAAGCATTCACATTGCTAAACTCACAAACTAGTATTTAGTCACTTAGCCATAATATCAACTTACCTCATAATTTGTAATATTTTAAAATAAAGAATTAAACTAAGTCTGCCCGAAATGCCTAGCCATGCTAGGCGTTCTAGTGGTACACTCTGTAATCATTATTTAACTACAAGTAAACCACACAACAACCAAATTCTGTAAATTCAACATTGTAATCTTTATAGAGAATAAACTTTGAATTTGAATTTGAATTTGTCTCACCCTTATTCATGTCCATTCCTTCCCTTACCTTCCTTCCTTTTACTGACCAACCTTACCCCACCTCCCTTCACTACTACTACTACTTTCTTATAAGAATAAAAGAAATGAAGGAATACTGCAGTAGGTCTACTGGCCCATGCTCAGCAGTTCTTTCTTACATTTAACCGTTCCAATTCATATATTTATATGTAACTTATTAAAAGTAGGCCATAGAAGGGATATGTAATGTCACCATAGTTGTTTAACATATTTATAGATGGGGTTGTAAAAGTAACAAATGCTAGGGTGTTGGGGAGAGAGGTGAGATTAAATTATGGGGAATCAAATACAAAATGGGAGTTGACACTGTTACTTTTTGCTGATGATACTGTGCTCTTGGGAGATTATAAAGAGAAGTTGCAAAGATTAGTGGATGAGTTTGGGTGTGTAAAGGAAGTTGAAAGGAACATAGATAAGAGTAAGGTGATAAGGGTATCAAACAAGTTAGGTAAATAAAAATTGGATATCACATTGAAGGGAGGGAATATGCAAGAAGTGAATTTGCTTAGATATTTGGGAGTAGATGGGTTCATGAAGGACAAGGCTAGCCATAAGATTGATGAAGGAATGAAGGTGAGTGGTGCACTGAGGTATCTGTGGACACAAAAAAAAGTTATCCGTGGAGGCAAAGAAGGGAATTTACAAGAGTATAGTGGTACCAATACTCTTATATGGGTGTGAAGCATGGGTTGTAAATGCTGCAGCAAAGAGGCTGGAGGCAGTGGAGATGTCGTGTCCAAGGGCAATATGTGGTGTAAATATTATGCAGAGAATTCATAATGTAGAAATTAGGATGTGTGGAGTTGCTAAAAGTATTATTCAGAGGGCTGCAGAGGGGTAGTTCGGTCCTTTAAAGAGGATGGAGCAAAATAGGATGACTTGGAGGGTGTATAAATCTGTAGTGGAAGGGAGGAGGGGCAGGGGTTGTCCTAGGAAAGGATGGAGGGAGGGGGTAAAAGAGGTTTTGTGTACAAGGGGCTTGGACATGCAGCAGGCATGTGTGAGCATATTAGATGGGATTGAATGGAGACAAATGGCTTTTGGGACTTGATGAGCTGTTGAAGTGTGAGCAGCGTAATATTTTGTGAAGGGATTCAGGGAAACTGATTAGCTGGACTTGAGTCCCAGAGGTGGGAAGTACAATGCCTGCACTTTAAAGGAGGGTTTTGTGATCTTGGCTGTTTGGAGTGACACCTAAACTGTCATATCTGAGTGCCTCTGCAAAGACAGTAATTATGCATAAATGATGGTGAAAGTGTTTCTTTTTGGGTTGCCCTGCCTTGGTAGGAGATGGCTAACATATTAAAAAAACTTATTCGTGAAGCTACGTAAAGTGTTAGCTTTAATGCTGTTTAGAAGTTTGTTCTGCAAGTCCATTATACAGTATAAATATTTAAAACAATCATGTACATGTCTTTCTAGAATAATTATAATATGAATTGTGTTATATCATTTCAATTGGAACTGCTTTTTCTATTTATGTATTTGCTGCATAATCTCAGATAATATTTTGTGAAACAGGAAAGTTCTGATGGAGCTCACTCTGATGGATTGATGTATTCTGTGTACACCATGAACCCATGTGGATCGTTGCAGTTGGTGAGTCGAGTTCTTAGCAAAAGCACTTCATCCAGGGACTCGGTGGAGGAACCAGTTGAAAGAGCTACAATAAAAATTAATAATATGAAACAGGATGACCGCAGAAGTCAAACTCAGCTACAGTCCCTTACTTTACATGAAGATATTAAATCTTCACAGTGTGAGTTTAATCAGGAGGAGATGGTGGTAGCCCCAGACATTTCAGATTTCCAAGGTAGTGTATAGTCTATTTTAGTTTTGAATACTGTAATTGTGTTTGTTAATTTATCACCTCAATATCTGTGAGATTTTGAAATGTTTCTCCTTTAGCCAGTTTAACCTATCTTTGGTGGAAATGGAAACCTCTATTTTGAACTTCTTTTAGCTTATTCACTTAACAGTTTGTAAAATGTGACAAATAATTATATAGCAAGACTATTCCTACTTAAGCTGAAATAGCAACCATCTTAAATGTTCATTAATTTTGTTGGTAGTAGATTGACATTAAATGGAATAAAAATGTATGAGCAAGACAACATTGATAAAGGGATTTGGGAAAATGGCTAGTTGAACTTTAGTTATGAAGGTAAAAAATACATTAAGCATTTTACCTGCACTTTAAAGGGTAGGTGGTGATGTTGCAGTTTTGAAGGTGCTAAGTATAGTGCTTACACTTTGTAGTTTAGTTGGGTAGGATGTTTCATTTGTGAAGGTAGGAATTAGAGGGCCTCCACCCTGAAGGATAGATGGGTGGGTAGGGATGTTGCATTTCTGGAGGTGGGAAGTACAATGCCTTTACTTTGAAGGATGGGAAATACAATCCCTGCACTCTGAAGACTTGATGTTGATGTAGTTTAACCCTTTGACTGTTTCAGGCCCCTCTCTGAAACTGTCATTCTATGTCGCTAAATATTCAAAAAAAAAAAATTATTTTTTCTTATGAAAATGTTAAGATTATTTTTCTGAGTGTTTTAGTCCAAAAAAAAATTTTTTGCCATTGGTACTTACCGAGATATAGAGCCGTGAAGTTTGCAGAAAATGAGCCGCGTATGGCAACAGCGGCGACTGCCACTCACCCGGTAAACTTTAGTTTACTTGTAATTGAAGGTTTTTTGTTTTTTTCACTATTTTATTTTTTCACATAACTTATGTGGCCTATGAGACCAAAGTAAGGTGCAATGTATATATATACACTCGTTGTATACAACACAATAAGCACACAAACATAATTATCAATATATTGTTTACAAAACTTGTTTACAAAAACAAACAAACAATCATCCTCCTCCTCCTCCTCCTCCTCCTTCTCCTCCTCCTTCTCCCTCCTCCTCCTCCTCCTCCTCCCTCCTCCTTCTCCTCCTCCTTCTCCTCCTCCTCCTCCTCCTCCTCCTCCTCCTCCTCCTCCTCCTCCTCCTCCTCCTCCTCCTCCTCCTCCTCCTCCTCCCCCTCCTTACCTTCTCCTTCTCCTCCTCCTCCTCCTCCTCCTCCTCCTCCTTCTCCTTCTCCTTCTCCTCCTCCTCCCCCCTCCTCCTTCTCCTCCTCCTTCTCCCCCTTTTCTCCTCCTCCTTCTCCTTCTCCTCCTCCTTCTCCTCCTCCTTCTCCTTCTCCTCCTCCTCCTCCTCCTCCTCCTCCTCCTCCTCTTCCCTTCTCCTTCTCCTTCTCCTCCTCCTTCTCCTTTCTCCTCCTCCTTCTCCTTCTCCTCCTCCTTCTCCTTCTCCTCCTTCTCCTCCTCCTCCTTCTCCTCCTTCTCCTCCTCCTTGTCTTGTGTGTGAGTGTGTGGCTTATAATTGTTTTGAGTCAGAAGTCGGTAGCTGTCAAAGTGACATATTGTCTCATTAGTCACTTCCCCTACCGCCTGTCAAAACAATGGGGTCGGATGCTGCTTCCCCTCCTCCATTCTATCTAATTATCTTTCTCCCTCATTCTATATCTTTCAATCTGTCTCTCTTTCTATCTGTCTGCCTATCTCTGTCTCACAGGTACACATAAATACAAGTATACATAGTGTAAATTACCTAGGATAACCCAAGAAATCCAGACAAAGTGCTATACTCTGCTTGAAGATGTGAGTAAACGTGATGACACAGTCTTGTGGCTCTCTCTGAGACAGAGAGCTAGATGGACAGACAGGGAGCTTGACAGACAGACAAATAGACAGACAGAAATGTTTGTGTACCAGCAAAAACAAAGGGAGGGCGATGGTCATGTAATATTACCCTCCTTTACGCTCATCAAAGTCAGCTCTTATCAGATGTTATCTCCCCTTATCTTGTCACTGTCATGGGTGGACTTTTTTTTTTCTTGCTTCAAGGGAACAATATTATTACATCTTCTTCCTCCTCCTCCTCCTCCTCCTCCTCCTCTTCCCCTCCTCCCCCTCCTCCTCCTCCTCTTCCTTCCCTCCTCCTCCTCCTCCTCCTCCTCTTCCTCCCTTCCTCCTCCTCCATTGCTTTTGGTCTCAAACTCCTCCAAATCATGAAATTGATCTTCACTGACACTTCCATCTGTGTTAGAGCATCACTTGGGAAGAGAAGAGTCCCAGATTTGCTGGGGAATCACATATTTCTTACAGCTAGACATGCTGAAAAAGGACAACTGAAATGGCATTCCCACAATGCACCACTGGCTCCCCGATTTTTTTTATATGGTGCACACTGACCATGGAGACCCATTCTCTCACATGTGGGCCTAGCAGCTTTCTCCTGCTTGATTTGAAGCTGCTAGAATTTATGCGTATAAATACGTCAGAAACATTGGCTCGTAAGACGTATTTATACGTCGGAAACAGTCAAAGGGTTAAGGGTCATTCAGTGATGGTCAATGTGCTTTCTTCTTTTTGGATCACCCTATATGTGACAAAAGAAAGACTAGTTCAAGAGCAGTATATTTGAGTACAAGTGATGTTAAAAGGCTACCAATAAAATCCTATGCTTGTAATATAAGGTAATCATAAGCTTCAGATATATTAGTAAAATACAGCAGACTTTACCTTGTAATCACCCTATGTCACTTGCAATAGTAGCGAAGCAGCTCAGCCTTGCCCTTGCTCACTCATTAAAAGTTTTTTTTTATGTATGCTTAGAGGATTAATAAGATATAGTCAAGCTTTACTTGTAATCACCACACGTATGACATGAGTGATGGTGAATGTGTTTCCTTTTTTTGGGTCTCCCTTAGTGGGAGATAACTAGTCTGGTAAAAAAATAAAAAAGTAAATTTTTAAGAAATTTATTTTCCTTGCTCTCCAATCTTAATTTAATGGTATGTGTATATTTTTTTCAGAGAGACCATTATTTAAATCCACTAACAGAAGAGCCAAATCAAGGAAAATATTTGCTTCTCAAGGAAGTCCAACTGGAACAATATTAACTGATGTTGTTAAGGTATATTACTATATGGTTACATTTCTCTACTTTTTTCCCAATTGCATGAATCACACACAAATCACAATTTCATCATCACAAAAAGCATGAAGCAGTCCAAGTATAATCAATTTTCTGTGATTGTTGTAGTAAGTTAATAGATCTGGTTTACAAGAATTTGATAATCAAAAATCTTGTTGTTAATAAAATTTTGTTCTTTAGGTTTATTTATCCACTTTTCTGTATAAAGCTCTTTACAGAAATTTTATTATAACAATTGTCAGTGAGACAAGCATACTTTTAAAGGTTTCGTCCATCCCATCTTTTTTTTTTTTTTTTTTAAATATCGACAGTAAAGATTGAAAACCAAAACCTTGTCATTGTGGTGGTATAAAAGCCTCCAGATGCAACTTCCCAGCAATTCCCGGAGCAGCTTTTCTTATTTGAACTTAATAAATCTTATTTAAACTTAGTACAAAATCTAACTTACAAGTAAGGGTGCAGGTGGTAATATTTTATGGAATGGCAGAATTAAAAGCCAGGAGGTCACATGATAAGACTAATTAGCAGATGTTTTGGCAGATTTGGTTAATATTGAGAAACAAAATGATTTTATGGGTTGGCAGAATTAAGAATGAATTCTTTATGAACGAAACCCAAAGTTTGGTCATCTCAAAAATCAAGGATATTATCCTAACTCCACAAGACTTTGAAAAGGCAACACAGTAGACCTTCCATTTTCGTCCATCTCTGTTTTCGTTGATTTCAGTTTTCACCGACTTTTCGCCAAAATATTGCCTTCATTTTCGTTGATTTCCTCAGTTTCCGTTGTTGGTACGGTACATGTCTGAGGGTCCGTGCGCACACAAAGCCTCCCCCACACACATTCTGAGGCCAGTGCCGCATTGTTTGTCGGTGAGTGAACATTATCCTGGGAGGTCATAGTGCCAGTCCTTTGGTAAAGAAAGTGAGGAACATGATAGAATTAAAGAAAGAAATCGTAGCAAAGTACCAAAGTGGAGGAAGAAGAGAGAGGGGAGAATGTGCCGCCTTCAGTGATTCAGTGATTCTACAATATGTATGATACTAAAGCAGCACAAGTTGATAAAGGCTATAGCACCAGCCAGCGATAAAGCGTAGCATTAACAGTGTAGCAAGTAAGTTAAGCGATTAAGGAAGGGGCGAGTGAAATCTACAATTTTTTTTTTTGGTCCAGTTTCAATGAGATTTTGACAGTGGATTAAGCAGCATAAAAAAAACATATAGGCTGTGTTTGTTTTGACTGTTAGCCTTCAAGTTAGGTAGAAAAAAATAAATTATGCACAATTTCATGGGTCCTAAGACTTTCCTTGTTCTACTAAATTCTGAAGATGTACAGTGTTCTAGTTAACATCAGATGAAAGATAAAGGCTAGATTATTAATGACCCAGGACAGTTTAGCGATAATATCAGTAGAGTCCATAAAAAAAAATGTTGAAGTTAGTTTTTTTGTTTTTGAGGAGGAGGAAAAAATCATTAACAAAAAGCTGTTTACAATATTGCAAATCCTCCCTGGGTGTTTGTAGAACCATCATTCCTCAATAACATCTGCAAAAATCATGACAATCCAATGAATACTTATCGCAGGAGAGGGATTACAATGTCAATAACTTATTACTGAGCTTTTTTATTTTTTTTTTTCGTGTGTGTGACACTCTAGGAAAGTGGCACGCCAACTCTCAGTGTGTTACACCTCTCCAACCTTCTTTACTGCCTGCCGTCTACTGAGGGGCTCACTCGCTGCTCTCCACACTAGCCAGCACAGAAGTTGCCATGTAGAGTATTTACAATGAAATAATCATAATCATAATTTTGGGAGGAAAAAAAAAAAACTGCTAATTGCCAACATATATTTTTGCTGACAGCAAGAACAAAAAAAAAATACATCTAATGAAAAACATACTTAGAAATATGATAGAAACAAGCTGATTACATCAAAATGTTGCCAGAATTTTGCACTATTTTTCAGTAAGAAAACATTTTCCATAATTTTTCAATTTTAATGTCCTGATCACTGAAAAAAGCCTCGCCCCTCCCTTAATCGATAGAAAAAGGACAGCACGAACCTAACTCCTCCAGTGTTGTTGGAGTTATATTGGGCTACTGACAACACTGCCGCCTCCACCAGCACTATGCACGGCTTATGCTCTCAGTGGCTCTTATACACCCAACAACAAAAACACAATATGAAGTTCAACAAGGAGAAATTTCAACTACTCAGATATGGAAAACTTGAGGAAATTAAAAATTTATCGGGGTATATGATAAATTCTAACCAAACAATAGAGCAAAAAAGTAATGCGAAGGACCTGGGAGTGATAATGTCAGAGGATCTCGCTTTCAAAGACCACAACAATGTATTTACCAATAAAGGTAAAAGTGATTTAAATGTTCATTTATCCATTTCATTAGTGCTTTATATTTCTCATTTTTTTTGTATGTAAAACTATAGCTATTCTCTATAAAATGTATTTTTTGTTAATGTTTTTGCATGTCTGGAACGGATTAATTGGATTTACACTATTTCTTATGGGAAATATTACTTCAGTTATCATACAAATCGGTTTTCAGCGACCTTCTGGAACGGATTAAAGATGAAAACCGGGGTTTCACTGTATTTCCCATATTTCTTTTTTTTCTTTTATCATAGGTTTATACCTGTTAAACCATTCTTTGTTACATCTTTCATTGATGATGGGGGGAGAGGAATAAACTTATTTCAGTTTCATGTATTTTGCAGAACTATTTATTCTGTAACATAAAATCATTGTGATGTTGGGAAGGGATGGTAGGTGGTATAGATGGATACAGTATTTGAAAGGAGTGTAGGGGAGGGGCAATGTTCATAACAAACTTATATCTCAGTTGATGAATTCATGGTAGCTCTAAGAACCTAACACCTGGAATTAACATGTCTAATGTATTTTGCTTAAGCACCTCTACTGAAGTTTACATTTTGATACACAAATAACCTGCACATAGAAGAGAGGAGCTTACGACACCGTTTCGGTCCAACTTTGTAAATAGTCCAAGTCGGACCGAAACGTCATCGTAAGCTCCTCTCTTCTGTGTGCAGGTTATTTGTGTATTGTTCCGGTCACGGTATTGTGCCTTTTTTCGTTATTTATATTTTGATTGTTGTTATTGGTTTGGTAGCCTTTACCCAAAAGCTATCATTAGAGCTACAGTAACACATTCTTTAAACTAAATGATGTGCATTCTGTCTTTTCAGTTGGGGCCTGAGGATCTTTGTAGTGCTACTTGGTGTGGAGTCTGTGAAAAGGAATTTCCATCTGCTGGTAGTCTAAAGGTTCACCTTTCTCGTATGCATAGTCAGGTGAAGTGGTGTCACACATGCACCAAGGTAAGAAAATGATTTCATATTACACAAAGTATAGTATTAGAATTTTTAAATAAAAAATGACACATTGGCAGAGAGCATGCATAGCTCTTTTGTTGGAGGGAAAAGGGGACAATTTTTAATATGTGCATGATGTGTGGGGATGTTGCAGTCTGAGGTTAATTTGAATTATGATGCCAGCACACTTTTGGCCAGACAGGGATTAAATGAATGATGAGATGGTAATCATGCTTTCTTCTTTGGGTCATTCTACTTTAGTGGGAGACAGTCATTGAGGCCGACTTGTTAAAAAAAAAATACATATATATACATATACATACATACATATACATGCATACATATACATACATACATATACAGTAGACTGTCATTTAACACGGTAGTTACATTCCTGAAAATGCTGTGTTAGGTAAAATCATGTTAGATGAACTGAAGAACTTATGGGAAAATTAGGGTTACATTCCTGGGAGCCCCGAAAAGGCCAAACGACTTTTTTTTAGACCAAACAGATCTTACAAAAATAAAAGTGAATATGTAATTGTAGTTCATTGTCGTGATATATTACTGCTTAAGACTACAAATGCAATAGAAATAATAGTATTTCTTACCTTAAATTGTGGGTAATGGTGTGTGTGGATGATTGTGGAGAGAGTGGATATGGATGGTGTGGCCCTACTGGGCTGAGGTGGATGGTTATTGGTTGTCGACAGAAGTGGATGGTAGAGGTTCTGGTACTGAAGTCGATGGTTGTATTGGAGTGTGCATAAATTCTGTACTGGATCTCTGGGCTCTTTTACCCTGCAATACATTATACAGCTGACAGTAAGGCATCATCAGCTGATCTAGACCCCATTTCAAAGCACTGCTTTTAGATTTTTCAGGGTCCTCTTCAGTGAAAATGTCTGCTAGCTTAGCAGCAGTATGGAACTGCTCACGTAACTGCTGCAATGTTAACTGTTTTTCTTCAAGTTCTTCTTCATCTTCTTCTGTAATCTCCCTCCCTTGTATCTGTGCATTGAGCTCTGCCAACATTTCCTCTGGACTCCTGTCTTCATCATCATCATCTAAGAGCTCATTCACATCATCTTCATTCATATTTTCAAAACCATCACCTAGTAATCTCCTTGCCAGCTGAACAATTTCCTGAACCTGACTCAAGGAAGGGAAAACCCGTGAAAGAATTAACCACAGAAGGCCATAACTTTCCCCAGCCTGCATTTAATGTTGATTGGGGCACTTCATTCCATGCACTTCTAGCATAGCTGATAGCATCTGCAATGTTAAATTTATTCCAGAAGTTTGGTACTGCCAAGTTGGAATCAAGAGTCCATTGATGCAACTAGTTTTTTCATAACTTTTTTTGTGTAGTTACACTTGAATGATTAGTAACTCCCCGATCCAGTGGTTGAATTAGAGATGTTGTATTTGGAGGTAAAAATACAACTTTTACATGTGGGATTACATCCAGCAAAGCTTGTGGATGAGTACAGGAATTATCAAGAATGAATAGAGCCTTGAATGCAAGGTTCTTGCTGTGCAGGTAAAACTTGACTTCAGGAATAAAGTGATGCTTAAACCAGTCAACAAATATTTCCTATGTCATCCATGCTGACTGGTTTGACCTCCAAATTACTGGTAAGGTGTTTTTATCTACACCTTTAAGATAAGATAAGATAAGATTTCGTTCGGATTTTTAACCCTGGAGGGTTAGCCACCCAGGATAACCCAAGAAAGTCAGTGTGTCATTGAGGACTGTCTAACTTATTTCCATTGGGGTCCTTAATCTTGTCCCCCAGGATGCGACCCACACCAGTCGACTAACACCCAGGTACCTATTTGCTGCTAGGTGAACAGGACAACAGGTGTAAGGAAACGTGTCGAAATGTTTCCACCCGCCGGGAATCGAACCCGGGCCCTCCGTGTGTGAAGCGGGAGCTTAAGCCACCAGGCCACCGGGCCACGAGGCTTCTTAGAGGGTAAATAACCATGGGCTTACACTGGAAATCACCTGATGCATTACCGCAAAGGAGCAAGGTAAAGCGATCCTTTACTGTCTTGAAACCTGATGCACTCTTCTCTTGCTGACTGATATAAGTTCGTGTTGGCATTTTTTTCCAAAAAACACTTGTCTCATCAGCATTAAACACTTGATGTGGCTCATAGCCATCCTCAGAAATAATTTCCTGCAATTCAGCAGGGAAATTACTTGCTGCTGTATGATCAGCTGAAGCACTTTCACCAGAAAACTTTATATTATGTAACTTATTATGCAACTTAAAGTTGTGGAACCAGCCTGTGCTAAACACACTTTTTCAGAGCTTCCTTCCTTATCACACACTGCTTTAAACAACTGTAAGGCTTTTTCCTTAATTAAGAGGAAATTAAGTGGTACACCTTTCTTTGTCTTTTATTCAATCCACTCAAGCAACAAGTTTTCTGTTTTATTTACTTGTTGGGACCTACATGTCATTCTTCTCATGAGATGACATCTTGGGTTATTCATTACACAAGCTCGTATATCCACCTCGTTCTTTTTAATTGTATGAACTGATGCTTCATTAAGGCCATAGGCCCTCACTATATCCACCACACGTGAGCCACTCTTAAGCTTATCTAATATCTCAATTTTCTTTGCAATTCCTAGACTTGAATGTTTAAGCCTTTTCTTGTCACTTTCAGCAACACTTGTATGCTTACTGGGTGCCATGATTGCTTGGCAGATTTAACAAATGGCAATGAAAATATGTAGTACAATGAATGTAAATAAACACACCGAGGTTTCTGAGTATCGTCCTACACGTGTATGAGCCGAACTGGAGGCTGGGAGTGTGGTGTGGGTGGTGGGGGGATGGCGGTAGGCCTCCCCATTGACTCAATGGTGTAACCCACCGCGGGCGACCGCATGCTCAAAATTTTTTCCCCTCCCGAGAATTGTGTTAAATTGATTTTATGACGTGTACTGCCCAGGGAGGTACTACCGTCCTACCAAGTGAGTGTAAAATGAAAGCCTGTACACCCTCTCCTCACTTAGCGACGTACTCATTTACGGACGGCTCGAACTTACGACGAGCTCTATGGCCAGTCTGCATACCTAAATAATGTATATTACAGGTGATTTCCCTTATTCTGTTTAATACAGGTCGGCCATCACTAATCCGGCATCATTGGGACCTGTAGTGTGCCGGATTACAGAGTGGTTAGGCTAGAATACACTTAATTAACCTATCAATAGAGACTCTTTCTGCTACATATTCCTCATTTTCATCACTGCTTTCTCCTCCACTGGCTTGCTACTGTGGATTTACAACCATCTGCACAATTTCTGAGTCAGTATAATGATGAAATTTGAGTCAGTATAATGATGAAATTTGAAATTATGCTAGCCACAATTAATGTCGGATTACTGATGGATCCGGATAACTGATTGCCGGATTAGTGATGGCCGACCTGTATAATATACAGTACACTACTGTATAAACATTCAAAAATATGCCAGAAATGTTACAAATGGTGCAAAGGTAACATTAAATGAATATCAAAGATGGTTGACACAAACCCACCACCATTACAGTATGCTCCTCACTGAGCAACAAATTCGTTTACTGACGTGTTTTTAGGAAAAGAACTACGTCGTTAAGTGAGGAGAGGCTGTAATTGTTTTACGTGATGGTAGGATTGCTGGTGTCTTTTTTCCATCTCGTAAACAATCAAAATTTCAGGTACATCTTGCTACTTCTACTTACACTTAGGTCACACTACACATGCATGTACAAGCATATATGTACAAACCCCTCTGGGTTTTCTTGTATTTTCTTATTACTTCTTGTTCTTGTTTATTTCCTCTTATCTCCATGGGAAGTAGAACAGAATTCTTCCTCCGTAAGCCATGCATGTTGTAAGAGGCGCCTAAATTGCCAGGAGCTAGGGGCTAGTAACCCCTTCTCCTGTATGCATTACTAAAGTTAAAATATGAAACTTTTGTTTTTCTTTTTGGGCCGCCTGCCTCGGTGGGATACGGCCGGTTTGTTGAAAGAAGAAGAAATACAGTGGACCCCCGGCTTACGATATTATTTCATTCCAGAAGTATGTTCAGGTGCCATTACTGAACGAATTTGCTCCCATAAGGAATATTGTGAATTAGATTAGTCCATTTCAGACCCCCAAACATACACGTACAAACGCACTTACATAAATACACTTACATAATTGGTCGCATTGGGAGCTGATCGTAAACCAGGGGTCCACTGTATTTATATACATACATACTGTACATACTTTTTTTTTTCTAGACAATAGATTCCGAGGAAGAGATGTGTGATCACGTTCGTGAATGCCATGGAGACCTACCCTTTATCTGTCTTATATGTGGTCAGAGCCTAAGAACGAATGCTGCCTTCCAGAGGCATAAGGACATTCACAAGGGGCTGCGTGGAAGTGCTTGTGAGGTAAGTTACATTTTCCAAAGCTGTATACTTTATTATTATTATGTTTTTTTTTTCCTTATTGGCCATCTTTCAGTGAGGTAGTATGGCCCAAAAAAAAGCAACACATTCACTATCATTACTTCAATTATTGTCTTGCCTGAAATGTACTAACATTGCAATTCAGATGACTTGTTGGCTGCAACATCCCTACCCTTCCTTCACAATGCAGGCACTGCCCTTTCCATCTCCAAGATGCAAGTCCAACTGACTGGTTTCCCTTTCTTGAATGTTACCTTGCTTACATTCAGAGCCCATGCCTCACACCCATATAAAAGTTTTGGTACCACTTTACTCTTAATCACAGAATGGGTGGAGTTTGAACCCATGAGAAGTGGGGCCCATGCTAACCTCCCTATGTATAGAAATATACCTAGTTGGGTGATTCTTATTAGAGCCAACTGGCCAAGTATTAACACACTGGCCCATGAGTTTTAGGACTCACTTGCCCTGGGTTCAAACCCCACCTGTTTGTGATTTGTTTGCAGTCATTACAATTTTGTGAGTCACTGTACTCTGTTAACCTTCCCCATTTTGCCTCCCTAGGAAATTTTCTTTCTTTCCATAGATGCCTTAACACACCTTTTTCCTCTTACCTAGGTTCACCTCAGCTTTTATGGATCCTTCTGCTGATATGTTCACTCCCAAATATCTGAATACAATCAATTCCTTCATACTCCCTCCAATATGATATCTAATCTTTTATTGACCAGACTTTTTGGTACTCTCATCACCTTACTTTTTGTCTATGTTCACTTTTAATTTCCTTGTTTTACATACTCTCCCAGATTCATTCAGTAACCTTTGCAACATATCCTCAAAATCTCCCAAAGGAATTTTGTCATTGGCAAAAATCAGTTATGATACTTCATACTTCCTATTGGATTCATTATATTATCATTTTTATGTCATACCTCTCCATAATACCCTGGCATTCACTTTTGTTAATATTCTATCTATAAATATGTTCAACAACCAAAGTGACATTACACATTCTTATCTAAGCCCTACTTTCACTGGAAAATACTCCCCTCCCCCTCCCCCCTTCTATATCCACTAACCTTAGATTCACTCTCCAAGTGAAAACTCTTTACCACTTTTTGTAACCAACAATTTATTCCATACGTTTGCAACATCTGTAACATTGCTACCCTCTGTACCCTATTATGTGACTTTTATAAATCCATAAATGCAGCATTCAGCTCTATACCCTTATCTAAGTAATGCTAACTTGAAAACTTAAATGTAGACATTTGATCTATCCATCCCCCACCCTTCCTAAATATTTGTTGATCCTCTGCAATCCTGCTTTCTGTCTTGCCCATAACTTTTTCAATAATAATTCTACCATGCTAGTAGGATGGTAGACAGCAGCCACCCAGGGAGGTACCACCATCCTGCCAAGTGAGTGTGAAATGGAAACCTGTAATTGTTGTACATGATAATAGGATTGCTGGTGTCTTTTTATTTATGTCTCATAAACACGTGGGATACTAAGTATATCTAGCTGCTTCTACTTGCACTTAGGTCACACTACACATGCATGTATACCCATATATATACATACAGTGGAACCCCAGATTTCGAACTTAATCCATTCCAGAAGGTCGTTCTAAATCTGAAAAGTACGAAAACCGAAGTAATGTTTCCCATAAGAAATAATGTAAATACAATCAATCTGTTCAAGACACCCAAAAATATTCACACAAAAATTCATTTTTTAAAGAATAACTATAGTTTTACATACAGAAAACAATGAGAACTAAATATAAATAAATATAAATATTACATACATTTATTGAAGACTCTTGTTGGCCCTTCCCTGTGGTCCTCCACCAACTCTTCCATATCCTGGCCACTCACATCCAACCCCATGGACTTCCCCAAAGACACAGTACATTCCACAACAGGCATAGGGTCGACAGGGTCAGCCTCATACCCTTCAAAATCTTTGTCAAGGACACATTCTGGCCACAGTTTTCTCCAAGCAGAGTTCAAAGTCCTGGGAGTCACTTCCTGCCAAGCCTTACCTATAAGGTTTATGCAGTTCTATTGTGTCTCAGTTTCTTTACCACTAGGAACTTTCTTTGGGGCCATGGTGGCTTATTTCTCAATCACAATCAGTAAACAAGCACAAAAATTGCAAAATGTTTCGGATGAATGCTCACTCAAGCAGTGACAAAGCCAGACTTACGGCATTCCCCAGGCGGGTGGACAAGTATGATACATGCAATTCTCAGGACAGGGTCCAAAATTAGAAGTAAAATTTCGCACAAAAAAGTGCCTGAAATCTGAAAAGTCCAATATCCGGTGGGTGCAAAATCTGGGTTCCACTGTACCTCTCTGGGTTTTTTCTATATTCTTAATAGTTCTTGTTTATTTCCACTTATCTCCATGGGGAAGTGGAACAGAATTCTTCCTCTGTAAGCTATGCGTGTTGTAAAAGGCAACTGAAATGCCAGAAGCAAGGGGCTAGTAACCTCTTCTCCTGTATACATAATTTAATAAGAGAAACTTTTGTTTTCCTTTTCAGGTCACCCTGCTTTGGTGGATATGACCGGTTCATTGAAAAAAAAAATTCTACCATACACTTTTCCTGGTATACACAATAAGCTTATTTCCCTGTAATTCTTGCATTCAATCTTGTCCTCTTTTCCCTTATGCAGAGAAAATGTTCATGTCTCTGCCAATCTTTAGGTGGCTTACCTTCTTTCATGCACATATAAAACAAATACTCCAGTCACTCCAACATTATATCTACACCTATATTTAACATCTTCATATTAATCCCATCTGTCCCAGTTGCTTTACCCCTTTTCATTCTGTCAATTGCTTAACGCACTCCATGTTTACCTCTCACTATTCCTTATTCCCATGAGATGTAATTCCTCTCTGCTCAACACATGAAATCACCACCTAGTACCTTTCATCATCAACATGCAGCAACTTTTCAAAATATTCTCTCCATCATTCAACCACCTCCACCTTCCCATCCAATATCTTCCATCTTCAACTGTCAAATCCATTTGCTCCCTAGGCTTCGTCACTTTATTGATCTGTCTCCAAAACTGTCAATCATTCTTAGGAAAATTTTGTGACATTGGCAGCCAGTTTCTTGTTTCTCCTTTTACACTCCCTCACCATGCTTATCCCCTCTCTTTTCCTCTCCATATACCCTGCTGTCCATGTATTATTTTGACACTATAGAAACCTTTCATAAGCTAACTTTTCTCCCTTATGACCCTCTTTACCTCATTACAATCACTTTTCTTCCAGCCAGTTCCCACGCTCTTATACCCTCAGACTTCTGCACTCTCTCTAGCACTGCATTCTTGAACCCTTTGAGGGTCCATCTTGCTCATTCTACGGCTTTGAAACCTGGGTCCAAACCGTAGTTCTACACCATGAGCTCAGCTCATTCAGATAATTTTATTTATTATTTTATTATCACACTGGTCGATTCCCACCAAGGCAGGGTGGCCCGAAAAAGAAAAACTTTCACCATCATTCACTCCATCACTGTCTTGCCAGAAGGGTGCTTTACACTAGAGTTTTTAAACTGCAACATTAACACCCCTCCTTCAGAGTGCAGGCACTGTACTTCCCATCTCCAGGACTCAAGTCCGGCCTGCCGGTTTCCCTGAATCCCTTCATAAATGTTACTTTGCTCACACTCCAACAGCACGTCAAGTATTAAAAACCATTTGTCTCCATTCACTCCTATCAAACACGCTCACGCATGCCTGCTGGAAGTCCAAGCCCCTCGCACACGAAACCTCCTTATACCCCCTCCCTCCAACCTTTCCTAGGCCGACCCCTACCCCCGCCTTCTTTCCACTACAGACTGATACACTCTTGAAGTCATTCTGTTTCGCTCCATTCTCTCTACATGTCCGAACCACCTCAACAACCCTTCCTCAGCCCTCTGGACAACAGTTTTGGTAATCCCGCACCTCCTCCTAACTTCCAAACTACGAATTCTCTGCATTATATTCACACCACACATTGCCCTCAGACATGACATCTCCACTGCCTCCAGCCTTCTCCTCGCTGCAACATTCATCACCCACGCTTACACACCCATATAAGAGCGTTGGTAAAACTATACTCTCATACATTCCCCTCTTTGCCTCCAAGGACAAAGTTCTTTGTCTCCACAGACTCCTAAGTGCACCACTCACTCTTTTTCCCTCATCAATTCTATGATTCACCTCATCTTTCATAGACCCATCCGCTGACACGTCCACTCCCAAATATCTGAATACGTTCACCTCCTCCATACTCTCTCCCTCCAATCTGATATCCAATCTTTCATCACCTAATCTTTTTGTTATCCTCATAACCTTACTCTTTCCTGTATTCACCTTTAATTTTCTTCTTTTGCACACCCTACCAAATTCATCCACCAATCTCTGCATCTTCTCTTCAGAATCTCCCAAGAGCACAGTGTCATCAGCAAAGAGCAGCTGTGACAACTCCCACTTTGTGTGTGATTCTTTATCTTTTAACTCCACGCCTCTTGCCAAGACCCTCGCATTTACTTCTCTTACAACCCCATCTATAAATATATATAACCATCGGTGACATCACACATCCTTGTCTAAGGCCTACTTTTACTGGGAAAAAATTTCCCTCTTTCCTACATACTCTAACTTGAGCCTCACTTTCCTCGTAAAAACTCTTCACTGCTTTCAGTAACCTACCTCCTACACCATACACTTGCAACATCTGCCACATTTCCCCCTATCCACCCTGTCATATGCCTTTTCCAAATCCATAAATGCCACAAAGACCTCTTTAGTCTTATCTAAATACTGTTCACTTATATGTTTCACTGTAAACACCTGGTCCACACACCCCCTACCTTTCCTAAAGCTCCTTGTTCATCTGCTATCCTATTCTCCGTCTTACTCTTAATTCTTTCAATTATAACTCTACCATACACTTTACCAGGTATACTCAAC